AGGTGCTTCCTGGACAGCCAGCAGCATGAAGGCTCCCAACCATGGCCTGTGGGAGAGCAGGGCTTTAACTGGCCTTTGTGGGGGTTTGTACTTGGTTTGGCAACAACAGCCGCCAGGGTTTGTTGAAGCAGCTGTGAAGGTGGCTGCGTTTCCAGTTCAAGTTGCTGAGGTGTGTAGCTCAGGCCTTAAGTGTGTGCAAAGAAGCCCGGACTCTTGACAGTCTCTCTGCCGCCCGAGGATTGCTATCCCCGAATGGAGTCCCAGGGGCAGCCAGGTTTTCACTCCCCCCTTCCTGATCATCGGAAGCAGGTAGTGGTAGCTATTCTGTAGATTAAGGATGTGCCTGCCCATCAGCACTGTGCCACTTTTAAGAGGGAAAAAAAAGGATCATTATTCTCCTTAAAACTTCTACCGCCCCCCGTCTCCCCACATAGGAGACTTCTCCTGTGCAGCGGGGCGCAAAGCTGAGGAGGCCTGGAGCCATCCCCAGATGAGAGGACCCCCTTTCTCTGCCAGACTGGCTAGCCATCCAAAGTGTGGTGGTGCTCCTGGAAGTCCTGAGCTGAGTTCGGCTGGAAGATGACTTGAGTACAAGCTGGTGGTGGGAGCTGGTGGTGGGAAGAGCGCTTTGATGATACAGCTCACTCAGAACCATTTTGTTGATGAATATGACCCTACAGTAGAGGATTCCTACCTAAAGCAAGTCACCATTGATGGAGAGATCTGGTTTTTAGACATCTTGGAAACAGCAGGGCAAGAGGAGTAGAGTGCCATGAGAGACCAGCACATGAAGACAGGGGAGGCATTCCCGGGCATCTTCGCCATTAACAATACAAAGTTTTTTGAGGACGTTCACCAGCACAGAGAGACCAGATCAAGAGGGTCAAAGACCTGGATGATGTTCCCATGGTGCTCGTGGGAAATAACTGCGACTTGCCAGCCCGGACAGTGGAGATGCAGCAAGGACAGGACCTGGCCCGCAGTTACCACATCTCTTACATAGAAACATCTGCCAAAGCCAGACAGAGCATTGAAGATGCCTTCTACACCTTAGTGGGGGTGATGCCTTTCTAGCTTAGTGGTTACACCAGCTTGAAGACAGAATGATGCAGTGATGGTCTGGAATAGTTTGTATTTTATTCACCTCTAATAGCTTGTTTCTAATCTTCCTTTCACATAGAAAACATGAAGAAAAACAGAAAAAGGCCATGGAAATGCCCTCAGTTCTGCATTTCCCACTGTTACATAACAAGTTCTCCCGGTTCTCCCCTAGGCATGAATTCTATAAATTTAAGCAACCCCATATCTTGCTATGCAAAAAATATGGCAATTCTTTTTCTTCTTCTGTTATCCTCACAACTACCAACAAGCACAGAGATGTAGCCACATCACTGTAGTGGACACCAACTCTGAATGAGTTTCAGAATTATTTTTTTTTTGGAAATAAATGCCATTACTACATCAATATAATGGAAATCATTAGAAATGGTCTGCCATCACAGAAATCCAAAACGAGGGCCATAGAAGATGGACATATTTTCTAAGACACTCTTGGCCTGAAGGCAAGTAGGAAGAACGGGAGGGAGAAGGGAGGAAGCAAGGAATTCCCAGAGATACTCAAGTGCTGGAATGGCTGAATTAGGACATTAACGTCCTGTGAGGCAGCCCCAGCCCTGCCTACACTTCACAGCTTATCCAGCTTTCCTCAGCATTTACCACTAGGAAGTGCTGGACAGAGATGAGATTTAAGCCATCTCAATGTGGATTTTGAAGCCTCAGATCTTTTCAAACAGTGAGTCCTATGCCAGAGGCTCTGCAAGCTTCCTTCCTAGAGGAACTGGATTTTAACACCAGACACACGCTGGGGGCAAGCACAGCATTGTGGAGAGACTGCACTAAAGGGACCAGGCACTATGTACATTCAAGAAACGAAACACTCTGGGGCTTTGCAAAGGAACTTTGCAGAAAAACTTTGCAAGGTTTCCAGGCTGTGCTGCCACTCCGAGGAGCACCCTCTCAAGCTGCTGTCCCTCAGATGCATGAAGAAGTTTAATGGGTGCTAAAAACACCTCTACGTTGCAGAAAAGCACAGAACCAGACAGCTCTGAAGTTACTGCTAACCCACTGTTTCCATGACTGCAAACTTCATTTTTTTTTGCCTGAACCACAGACCAACACCAGTTTTTACAAGATCACAAATCATTCCCCTCCCAAATGATTAAAAAATGTTTCCCCCTTGTAAAGTTTAAAAGCAATGGCTTCATGGTTGTACTAAATGATGGGAAAATCTGCAAGAGGAGAAAAAAAAAAGCCCAAAAAGCCTCCCATCGGATGAGAAAAGCATTATAAATTATAGAAAGAAGCCAGAATTGGTACTGATAGCCTTGGTCAAATTTAATTTTTTAATTTTCAGTAACTTCTAATTTGATTATTTTGACAAAAATGTTATTCTTGGAGATATCCAAAGTTGAAGTAACACTGTGTGCGTAGGCAGGGTCAGGTATGTGTGGCAGCACAGATGCAAATTCAGAAGGAAAAACAGTAAATCTGAAGTAAACCCTGGCACAAATAAGGCCTTGTCAAGTTACTACAGCAGAATTTCTAACACTGCTCCAGCAGATGCTGTATTAGCAAGCACATGTCGACACTAACCTGCCATCAGAGCCATCTCCTGCAGTGCCTCCTCATGCTAGCTAAAACCGCCTATGAAAATTTCCACGGAAAACAGGATCTATTTCCAAGGGCACATGTAGTGTCAGAAAAAGGAAAGAAAGAAAAAACAAGAATGTTTGGCTGGGAGATGTAGGCACTTGCCCCCTCTCTCACCACTGCCCCGCGCAGGCAGCGGGCGCCCCCTGGCCGCGCTCCGGCCCC